CCTAAGTAGAAGTTACATTGACTAACCAAGAAACCATGGACTGGCTTAAATCAACAATAAATTGCTAACATAGTACAAGCAGGCCTATCAAAACATGGTACAACTGAGATTCTGCTTAGTGCGTATGGAGCACACTCTGAGAGCGACGCAATGGGCTAACAATGGTAGGAAACCTTGTGGTTACCATAGGTGTGGGTTGACGAGCAAGCGCAAAGCCAAAACGATAGAGCAGGTACGTCGCTTTGCAAAGCTGGAGACTGGTCGCTGCGGTGACTAACGAAACGCCCGGCAGTAGGATACCCCAGTGAGTGATTCGATTGGCGCCAATTTCTTGTTGTCGTACAGGGTCCCATCAGGGAAGCGCCGTCGCACAGACGAATGGTTTTAAGTATTTTCGATTTATCATTTATTCACCATGTATGTAGTGGCTAACAGCCCTATGGAGTCTCTAGTTCACAGAACAAATTACTAATGTAAGCCAGATACAAAGTCACAAGGAGAAAAATCCAAGTAAATCTTGACTCGCAGTTCAAAATAGGAGATTCCGTAGTTCCGTATTCCGTTAAACCACCACACCAAGAATAGTTCTATCTTCCTGGTATTCCAGATCTCCGGTGATCGAAATATCAATCCACAAGTGTGAATGTATTAGTCCAGTGTTTGTAGCTAAAATGTTTGTTCACGTTTAGTGTTAGTAGCAGTCAATTATAGCCAACCAGCGGTCACAACAACAGTCACTCAGCAAAAGTCTCAAAGTCACGTTGGAGCCAAAAGCGGGCAGGAGCGGTTGTACTTCAGTAAAACAGACTTTTATACAGCGATGTGACTGATAATGATGGGGGAAAAGGTGATACTGAGCATGAAAAAGAGCAGTTTACAATCGCTACAGAACTTCCCCCTAGAGCGTCAAATGTGTGAGCAAGACGCTCGAAAACGAAATGCGTCACGACAGTTAGTCTTTGAAACGAACAGGAAGTCTGCAATTTCGACCAGATCTTGTGAGTGATGGTGTGTGTGTGGTATTGGTGGTGTCACTGGCCGAAGGAGGGATCGTGCTACTGTGTGGTTGTGCGACGGAGGGGGTCGTAGTATGCTCATCCTCGGAGGTTGGTCGTGTGTGCATGTAAGCAACTTTTAGTCGGTCGATGCTAACAGTGTCTTTGCGGCCGTTACAATCAATGACAAAAGTTTTGTCTTTCCGAGAAATGACTCTGAAAGGCCTTCATATGGCGTTTGTAAGGGTTTTCTGACCGCATCGACACGCACAAATCATATTCACATGTAGCAAGATCGGGACGTACCTGGATAGGCTTGGAAGATTGTCGAGTAGGTGAAGGACGGATGTCACGCATGTGTTGGCGAAGCTGGGAAACGAAGGAATTAGGGTCCGTTTCACCAGTTGTTGAAGACGTAAGGCAGTGTCGAAGACGAGTTCAGCGGCGGTGCAGCCCAAGTCTTCTAACAGTATTGCGTATACTCAGAAGAATGAGTGAGAGGCGTTCCGACCAGCTAGAGGCTATCAGCGATGTCTTAAGTTGTTGATGGAAGCGTTCGACCATGCCGTTGGCAGTTGGATGCTACGCAGTTGTTCGGAAGTGATCCGTACCAAATAGCCGTTTGAGGTCATGAAAAAGTGTTGAAGTGAATTGTGGACCTCGTTCAGTGGTACTGGTGAACGGAAGAAGGCATTCGCTGCGGAGTTATTTATTCGGAAATGCCAACTGACCGGTTACAGACCATTGAACAGGGAACCAAACTCTAATCTGCATCTTAGTTACAAAAACTGGATACAGATCTTCTCCCAAACGAGTCTTCCTGGGGATTCATTGCCCCCAATCATTCGTCGGTCAAATAAAAGCAAATGTTACAAAGTGGCCCCACGAATTCCGCAAAAGAATTCCATTTTTCAATCGACGCAAAGCGAAATTCTACAAACAACACATAGTACTCGCGTGCCTCCCGATCAGTAGTATCCCCGAATGTAGCGATCCAGCTATCGACAAACGTCCTAGCAACGTTTTCGGCAGAGGTGTCGTTGATCGGAATGGCCATGGGCCAGCGTGTGAAACGGTCGACACAG